GGTCCTTGTTGGGAACAGCAGAGAACATGAGCATATGATGAATCGAGTCTGTGGACCAATATGACCTCAATTCATTCTTTTTTGTAATGTCCATGTTGAGGGTTACACCAAAAAAAGTTTTATATTTCGAAAACTGTGATAGGTTTCCATGCAAATTGTCTGGCAAGAGCTGAATTTGGGTGGGTGGCAATGTATTGCTGTGAGTATAAATTGTTTTGGCCCACAATTGATAGAAATCTTACGTGAAAAACAGCTGAGGCACTAAATGCTAGTGCTGGCTGATCCTGCTAACACTGTGCGCTTTTGCGGACACTATAGTAAGGAAGCACTAGTACATTTCTGTTCACGATCAATATATTGATCCATGCAAACACTATACTAGTAAAACCGGTGATCAGCAACCTATAGTTTGAGTGCGATAGTGTGCAGGCAATCTAACGCTAGCTGACCCTGACGCTATCTGATGTTGCTAGTGGTAGTAATACAGTGATCAGTGAAAAAATACTGACACTGTACCAATGGAACTGACTGGGTGACGGAGTGATCGTAAGGTTAATATGGGCGATCACAGTGTTAAATGTTTTTTATGAATAATCAATCAGTGCTGCCAGGTTGTGTCACCATCATGATTAAGTGTATCTGCTTTTACACTTAAAGGGCACTGGCAGATATTGCAGCTCTGAGTGATCTTTTACTATTATAAATAATAAGGCAGCACTGATTGTTCATTTATAATAGTGAAAGATCAATCCGCTTAAAGAGGGGTGGGGGCTCTGTGCTGGCTGTACTTTCCCCTACAGGAACACCCATCATCTCAGAATGGGATGGAGCTACAGCCAGCATTAGGAGGTGCATTTAGAGGACAATGGGGCCAAAGATCAGAATGTGACAAAGTGTCATATGCACTCTTGGAATTCATGAATAAAGCACTCTGTAGATACTGTGCCTTACAGACTACCAGATACAACGAGATGGATGACGAGGATGTCTATGCTATCTCTACAAAAACTTACACCTTTTCTTCCACACCCTGGTGAGTCTGCAATGCAGTTTACAATGTGGATTCATACAAGGTGTGAATTCAGAATCAGTTTCTTAAATGTCACATACTCAGGCCAATAAAACAAGACATAGATCAAAACTGTATTGCAAAACTGCACATACACTGGATAAGTACTGTTTTGGGCGTGGTTCATTGCAGCACATTGCAAACTAGATAGTAGATAAATAAAATGCTTCCATTCCAGATAAACTCTTGTACACTGTAACTATTGCTACTGCTTCTGCTAACAAGGGATGCGATCAGTGAAACCAGTGTGTTAGACACTGAGATGTTTACCCTTATCTGTAAAAAGTTGATTCCCAAGAAAATATTCATTTACTAGAACAAGATGTCATTTTAAAAAAATTGCTGGGTCCTATTGGTTGATAATGAAGTAAGAAGGAGACTTTAGATAATATATGCCACAACTCTAGATCTTCATGAAAGTACTCTAAAACTGTTCTAAACCACATGGAATATGCAGAACTACTGTAATAAAGAATTTTTGGAAATTCTTTTTTAGATAAATTCATTTGTCAATTTTGGGTCACATTGAGGACACTAGCATAATACCCATTAATGTTAAGAAATGTTAATATCTCAGAAGAGGCACAATGATTTTGAAGATAGTAAAATGCTATATTTATTAAATTGCCCCCCCCCCCTTTTATTTGGTGTTTTACAATTTTCATCCATTCAATTCCATTAATTTAATATTGATTCCTCTTCACTTTCCTAACAATTCCCAATAAAACAGGTTTATCCTAAAAGGTTACCATCTAAACCATTTATATATGTTTTTCTTACATTTGTGATATAGAATGTTTGGCCTTGTCTGTCTCTCAAGGTCTGGACTTTGACTATTATGTTATTCATAATTCAATACTTACTGTAATATAGAAAGCAGCAATGTTTCTACAGTTCTGATTGTGAAGCATAAAGAAGAAAAAAATAGTCAGAATATGAATACAACAAGCTTTTCAAAGTATTTGCGTCTTTATACTTAGCTTCCTAAAACTATTTAAAGTACAGTACTGTAAAACTTGAAAATTTTGAATCTGAACTCTCTCCACCTGCTAATTGGCTCTGACTTTAATTGTGACAATCATTTTATAACGATAACACAGCATAGCATGTAAAAGGAAGCTTTAGTTAAACGTTTGCATATTCTGTTAGCAATGCTTTGTCTATTATGTGATTCATACACACTCTATTTATTGCAATGCACAGAACAGAAGTATTTTTATCTTTTTCTCACACACCACACATACACACACTGCCATTCAAATAAAATTATTTGATATTAATGTGTTGATTGGCTTTAAGCTGAATTCTGGTCAGGTTACATTTAGGATCTAATGCTCATTTAGTTTAGGGGCACATTATAGTGAATATTACTTACCTTTTTTTTGTTTTTGGTATGCACAACCATGCCCACAAAGTCAATCCTCTTCTCTTGCACCTTCCAATATCCTTCATTTTATTAAAGGATGTTGAGGGCAACCACATTTCAGGTCTGGAGTGCAGAAGAGTGCTGGCTGCTGGGAAGTCAGGAATAAGGTAAGTATTTCTCTGTATTAAAATACAATAAATAATACTTGTGAGCCAAAATGTGATACTCCCCTAACATGATAAATAAATAACTAAAATCATATATATCAAATAATGGTGCATCAACACTTTACACAATACTCATTATCTGTGCAAAAACATAGACTGTACATAAAACATATATATCTACAGATACATATACGTGCCGCGCTCCATAATATTCTTAAAAACTCATATACTGGTGATTATTCAAATAATAATGTGAACAAAGTTACTGTGCTTCAAGCCAGTGCAACATATAGTGCATTCCAAAGTAATGTTCATCCAATATTCAAAACAATTTCATAAACAGTCCTCTTTGTGCTTCTATGATATTTCAGTGACAAGGGGAGTCTGGCACAAAACACCTCACTTGTCACTGAAATATCATAGAAGCACAAAGAGGACTGTTTATGAAGTATGTATGATGCATGCATATTCTTAGCCCCCAAGTGCATAACCTTACATTTATCAACATTAAACCTCATTTGCCACAGAGTTGCCCAATTACACAGTGCATTGAGGTCGGCTTGAAAGTTGGAGACATCCTGTAAGGACGTTATTCCACTACACAGCTTGGTGTCATCTGCAAAGACTGAAATTATATTTTTAATCCCAGACCCTATATCGTTTATATAAATATACTAAACAGTAAGGGTTTTAACACTGAACCTTGGGGTACACCACCGACAACCCTAGACCATTCAGAGTATGAATCATTAACCACTACTCTCTGAATACAATCTTTTAGCCAGTTTTCTATCTATTTACATACTGATTTTTCCAAGCCTGTAGACTTTACCTTACACATTAGCCATGTGTGGGGAATTGTGTCAAACGCTTTTACAAAATCCAAGTATACCTTGTCCACAGCCACCCCTCTGTCCAAGGTTTTGCTCACCTCCTTAAAAAAAATGAGATTTGTTTGACAAGTTCTGTCTTTCATGAATCCATGCTGTCTGTTGCTTAAAATATTTTTTTCAAGCAAGAACTCATCTATGTGGTCTTTTTTTAAACTCTCCAGTATCTTTCAAACTATAGAAGTTAAACTAACAGGTCTATAATTACAGCAAGAAGGGGCATCTCTGCTGAGTACCTCTGCTCAAAAGGGAAAAAGTCAGACAAATGGTCGTTGGTTCTGATCCTAGCTCGAGGAGCATTATAGAGCATACCCAGCCACTTCAAAAACCGAGGGCCAAATCCAAATCTGCACAGTACCTCCCAAAGGAACAACCACTCAACCGAATCGAAAGCCTTTTTCAGCATCTAAGGAGGCTATAACTCCAGTGCCACCATTAGCATGAGTGGCAGCCAAGTTAACATCTGTACCCTTCCCAAGCATAAAACCTGTTTGATCAACGTGGATAAGATCATCCATCACTGTCGTGAGGCAGTTTAGAGTTTAGCATCTGCGTTGATCAGAGAGATCGGCTGATAAGAAGCACAATCTTCAGGATCCTTACCAGGATAAAACTGTCCCCTAGCCAGCCAAAAGTCTACCATTCTTGACCCCATATTCGAACATCCTCTGCGCTGTGGAAGGTAGAGACTTTTTTAGTCATGTCAGTTACATAGTACATAGTCTGGCTGAAAAAAGACAAAAGTCCATCCAGTTCAACCATAGAGGAAAAAAAAAGTTATAATCCTATACCCACAGTTGATCCAGAGCAAGGCAAAAAAAACCCCAGCAAAACATGATCCAATTTGCCCCTGCTGGGAAAACAATTCCTTCCTAATCCCCTGAGAGGCAATCGGATATTCCTTGGATCAACTTTACCTATAAATGTTAATATCCAGTTATATTATGTGTATCTAAGAAATAATCCAGGCCTTTTTTGAAGTAATCCACTGAGCTGGCCAGCTCTGAGTAATATCTCCCTAGGGGCTTGTTGCTACGCTACACAGTGGTCACGGTCATTATGAGCCATATAGTCCGCCGCTCTTTGCCGTGTCTCAACCTCCAGCTGCTCCAGAGACTGCACAGAAGAACTCTTTACATTAGTTATGCAAGAAATATACTCCCCCCTAAGCCAGGTCTTAAATGTGTCCCAAACTATCAGAGGACTAGCAGAGTCCTCATTATGCAACCAATAGTCACAAAGGACCTCGAGGATAAATTCTTGAACAGATGGGTCCATAAGCCAGAACCTAGACAGCTTCCATTGGTCCTGGCCCCTGGCTGCCCCCAGCCGCAGGAAAATCATGACGAGGGGCATGGTCAGAAATGCCCCTGGCCAGGATCTCAGCTGAGATCACCCGCTGAAGTACAGAGGAGGAGGCAAATAACAGGTCTACACGAGACAGAGATGGATGAGTTGTAGAATGACAAGTATATTCGTGATCTAAAAAGGATGAAAATTCGCCACACCAGGGGCGGACTGACAACTCATGGGGCAATAGGGGATCATGGGGCCCCTGTGTCCTTGCCCAAACTCAAAAATGCCTATGAAAAAGGTACCAGGGGCATCTCATGGGGCCCCCTACTGAACCCAGGCCCTCGGGCAGTGCCTGAGTTTACAAATGGTCAGTCTGCCCCTGCGCCACACATCAATCAATGCAAAAGAGGAGGCCCATTGGGAAAGGCCCTGGGTCCAGGCAGTGAAGTCCGGGAGCCTATCTAGATCTTAGGAGGGCACCAAGTTAAAGTTCCCAAAAAGCAACACATTAACTTCACCATATTGAGCCATCAATTGCATAAGTGTATACAGAAGAGTCAGTCACATCAGCAGGTGGAGGCAAGTAGAGACCCATTATCACAAAGGCAACATCTGCTACTAGAACATGTAAGAGCACATATCTGGCATCTGGATCCATCCTAACCTCCAAGAGTTGAAAAGATCTGCGTACCAAGATACTAACTCCACTTGCATTGTTGGAATACGTGGCATGGTAATGGGCACCCACCCAAGTCAATATTCAGGAACCCATAAGATGAGTCTCCTGAAGAAGACAGATATGAGGGTGGAGTCTGCGAAGTTAGAAGAATAACAGATCTCTTCATGGCTGAATTAAGGCCATGGACATTCCATGATATAAGAGAGAGCTTAGCCATATTGTGGCAGAAGTAGATAGCTAATAAGGATTAAGGCACAGAGGGCTCTGCCACCAGACTCAGGACAGAGCAGGGGGGAGTCCCCACCGTGAAAACATACCCGTTCCACACAATAGGTGCACTACAGCCCCAAAAGGCAACCTCACGTAGCAGTTGAATGTAAATGCCATTAAAAGAACCAAAACATAACAAACATTGTAAAAAAACACATTGTAAAACCCACAACAGTCCAAACAAGGTCGGCAATGGCCATCTGCCCGCCCCCCCCCGGAAATAACAGCAGCCTAGTGTTATGATAGGGCAAATCTCCTGTTATCCGAGCAGCCTATAGGAGTTCATAGTTTAGTAGCCGCATAATAAATGTGCATGGCAAACAACCCTCCGGTCCAGCCCTCAGGGGCACCCAGTGCTCCCGCTCCACAGTAAACTGGGGGGAAAGCTAGGCCACGGGCAGGAGAGATCTCAGCAGCTCTTCCACATAAACTGTGGGGTGCTTACCTTCCGCACCCCCTGGGAGTCCCACTATCCACAGATTGTTATGTCTGCTGTGGTTCTCCATATCTTCTGCCTTGTATTCCAGGGCTCTGAGCTTCGTTTGCAGGAAGCGGAGGGAGGCCGCATGTTCCCCCACCACGTCCTCTACATGTCCAACCTGCTGTTCACCTGCGGAGAGTTGGGAGCAAATATTGTCAAAGTCCTGGCGGAGCAGCCCAACATTCAACTGAACTGCCTCTATCTTAGAAGTCAATGCTGCTTGGCAGGTGGAAATAGCCGTCATCACCTCAGGAATGTCCAGCAGTGGAGGGACCACAGCCTCAGTTTGAGACACCATATTGGAAAAGCGCGCCTGTGGGGCTGCCCTAGGTGGACTCAGGCTGACCACGATGGCTGCAACGGGGGGGAGGGATCCGAAGCCTCCTGCCCCCTTTCGGGCACTCGGAGGATCTACAAGGCATCCAGAGTGTGGGCACCGTCACTCAGTGATCTATAGGTGTAGGATAGGAGAAAAGAAGGATAACTGTCCAGCAGAGCTCCGGCATGCATGTCTGATCAGTCCGCCATCTATGCTGCGTTACTTTAACTGACAATGGCGTGGTCATGCAATGCTGTACATAAGTTAAGTTTGTGTCCTTTTTTTCCCACAAACAGCTTTATTTCAGTGATATTTGATCACCTCTCCGTTTTGTATTTTTTGTGCTATAAACAAAAAAAAGACTGCCAATTTTGAAAAAAAACAATATCTTTGACTTTTTGCTATAAAACATATCCAATAAAAAACATTTAAAAAATCAAATTTGTCATAAATTTAGGTCAAAATGTATTCTTCTACATGTCTTTGCTAAAAAAATAATCCCAATACGTGTAAATTAATTGGTTTACGTGACAGTTATAGCGTCTACAAAGGGCGGTATATATACTGGAATTTTTTTTTATACTAGTAATGGTGGCGATCAGCGACTTATAGTGGGACTGCGAGACTGTGGCGGGCATTCTGACACTGGGTGGGAACTGACTAACTGCCACTGACATCTCCAGTGATACTAATACTATGATCAGTGCTAATAAAAAGCACTGACACTGGACTAATGACACTGGGCAGGAAGGGGTTAACATCTGGGGTGATCAAAGGATTAACTGTGTTCTGTGTGTGTTTCACATTATGTGCTGTTTTACCATGGAGATATGCTACTTTGTATTTCTCTGCTGTCATTGCTGACAGGAGAAAGACCTGTGTTGTTTACACACAGGTCTCTCTGTCAGCTTTCCCCGATGATTTTTTTCCCTGCAGGAGCAAATTGGATCATGCTTTGCTGGGTTTTTTTTTGCCTTCCTCTGGATCAACTGTGGTTATAGGATTATAACTTTTTTTTTTTTAATGGTTGAACTGGATGGACTTTTGTCTTTATTCAGCCAGACTAACTATGTAACTATGTAACTGACCTGACTAAAAAGTCTCTACTTTCCACAGCACAGAGGATGTTCGAATATGGGAACAAGAATGGTAGACTTTTGGCTGGCTAGGGGACAGTTTGATCCTGAAGATTGTGCTTCTTATCGGCTGATCTCTTTGATCAACGTAGATGCTAAACTCTTAGCCAAAATTTTGGCCATCTGCCTCATGACAGTGATGGATGATCTTAATGTAATCACCTAGTGCCGAGGAGGGGGGGAGGAGAATTGCCGGCCGGGACATGATGATTGACATCTCAATGACAGCGTGTGTGCATCCCCTACCCGGAAATGCAAATCCCATATATATATATACACATGATTTTGCACAGCCCTGCTGCCCTGTAGCAGTAATTCTACTAGATGGCGGTGGGCAAGCAGTTAAACAAGAATGCTTCTTATACAGACTACATACAGTTATATGAAAACAATTCATTACATACAGAGCGCTATAAAAATGCATACATACATACATGAGCATGTTATACACATCATTACACACTTTGGTGAAGACAGTATTCTGTTTTTTGCAAATGCACTGGTAACAAGGCCTAGAATTTCAATGATCTACAATTGAAGCCTCACTTGAGAGTAATATGAGAGTGGATGCTCGTTTGCTGTATTCTCTTTAATGAAGATACAACTGGTAAGAACAGCCCTGACAGGTTAACCCTATAAAAACCCATATCTAGCAGGCGTAGTGATGTATGAACATGATGTATTGATGACTTGTGTACTATTTTTGTACTTTTGTTAATTAACTGCTTAAGGACCACCCTATAGCAGATATACTGCTACAGGGCGGCACCTGTGCGCAGAATCACGTATATATACGTGATTTTGTAGTTCTGGGTAAGGGTCAGATGCACGCCGCGTGCGCGCCCTACCCGTGCCGCCATTTTCAGCCACAGATGTCAATCATCGAGTCCCGGCCAGTAATTACCTGCCGGCGCCTGGTGATTACCAAGCATCTCCGATGGGGAGTAAGATTGTTTTGTTTACAAACAGTCTTCCTCCCTGTCAGCTCAAGCACACTGCTTGGGATGGCTGTGCACAGTACAGCCATCCCGATCAGTGTGCTTACAGTGAAGAACACACCCCCACCCCCTAGTAAAACACTCCCAGAACACAGTTAACCCTTTGACCGCCCCTCACATTAACCCCTTCCTGCCCAGTGCCATTAGTACAGTGTGAGTGCTTTTTTTTTTTAGCACTGATCACTGTATTGGTGTCACTGGGGTGTCAGTGACACCAAGTTAGTTCCCCCCAGTGTCAGAATGTCCATGGCAGTCTCGCTAAAAGTCTCCGATCGCTGCCATTACTAGTAGAAAAAAATCTCATTATCTATACCGCCATTTGTAAACTCTATAACGTTCACGTAAACCAATTAATTTAAACATATTGGGATTTTTTTTTAGCAAAGATATGTCACAGAATATTTGCATACTAACTTGAGAAATAAGTCAATCTTTAACCCTAAAATTAATAATAATTGTGTGGACCCCTTTAAGAAACTAGTTGAGGATGATTTGGAGGCTCTCATTATCCCCCCCCCCCCCCCACTAGGAGAAAAAGAGACATTATTCAGGGCATAGAACTTTTAGAAAAAAATAAGGAGATTGTGATAATACCAGCAGATAAAGGAGGAGGGGTGGTTATCTTGAACAAAAAAGATTACTATGAAGAACTTGAAGGTTACTAAATGATCAGGAAACTTATGAGGTTTTAATAGGGAATCCAACAAGGAAATATAAAAGTAAGTTAATGAAACTAATCACTATAGGTGAAAAAGAAGGGTTCTTGAATAAAAAAGAAAGTATATATATTGTCCCTGATGCTCCCATCAACTCTTGTAATATATAAACTGCCAAAAATACACAAGGATTTAAAGAAACCCCCAGGGAGACTCATAGTGAGTGGGGAGGACTCCCCTATTCGCAAGGGTAGGGGAGTACTTGGACCAATTTATTTCAGCCACTTGTTCAGAGATTTCCAGCCTACTTGAGGGATAGTGGAGATCTTATTAATGTTTTGAAGGAGGTACGGATTGACAAGCCATGTGTTATGGCAAGTGTTGATGTGAACTCACTATATATTAACATTAAAATTGTCCTTACAGATGGATAGTAAACAGAAAGATTTTTTATTGCAATGTCTAGATTTGGCTATGCGCCATAATTTTGTCTGACATAATAAAAAATTCTTTAGACAAAAAACCGGAGTTGCTATGGGAGCAAAGTACGCACCCTCAGTAGATAATCTTTTTATGAGTAAATGGGAACATGAATTTATATATTCCAATAGAAGGCCGGAATTAAAGCTCTATAAGAGATTTATAGATGACATTTGTATTACTTGGGAAGGTACAGAAGAATAGTTGGAAAAGTTCATCAAACAAGTGGGAATGAACAGATTTAATATATCATTCACTGAGAGTATTAGTACTTTAGTTCTGATTCCATTCATTTTTTTAGATCTCATGATATTCAGAAAAGGGGACAGATTACATACATGTACTAATTTCAAAGAGGTTGACAGGAATGGTTACATCCCCATACACAGTTGCGATTACCATGGATGGCTTAAGCCCATTCCAAAAGGTCAGTTCATGCGAATTAAACGGAACTGTGATGAGAAAAGTGATTATAGGGAACAGACAGGGATCCTAATCAAAAGATTTGAGGAGAAAGGGTATAAAACAGGGGCGGACTGACCGTTTGGAAACTCGGGCACCGCCCGAGGGCCCGGTGTCAGTAGGGGGCCCGATAAGATGCCCCTGGTACCATTTTCATAGGCTTTTTTGAGTTTGGGCAAGGACACAGGGGCCCCATGATCCCCTATTGCCCGGGGGCCCCATGAGTTGTCAGTCCAGCCCTGGGTATAAGATTAATGAGCTAAAGGGCATCAGGGACAAGATAGGTAATATGGATAGGAATGACTTGTTAAAGAAAAAGGAAAGAAAGGGAGATCATTTTGATTTGACCTTTATAACAGGTTTTTCCAAGCAGCATAGGTTGGTTGAAAATGTTTTTTGGAGTCACTGGCCAATCTTGTTGCATGATGAGGTATTGGGAAAGCTTTTCCCCAGGAAACCTAAATTCATATATAGAAGACCACCTACCCTTAGAACTAGATTAGTAAAGCATGTTCCAGACCCACCGTCCAACAAGGTCACCTTTCTGGACCAGGTGGGATTTTTTAGATGTGGTAAATGTATAGCATGTAAAACAATGGAGGTCAATAATAATAACAAAACGTTGGAATTTCAGTTCCAAGCAAAAGGGGACATTTATAAAATTCAGAAATTCATTTCATGTGATAGTATTCATGTAACGTACCTTCTGGAATGCCCTTGTCATTTACAATATGTGGGGAGAACAACCAGGAAACTTGCCGTGAGATTAGGTGAACACATTAATATTAAAAAAGGCTTTAAACATCATAGTTTGCCCTATCACTTCAGAAAATTTCACAATCGGGATCCATCTTTGCTCAAGTTTTGTGGGATTGACAGAATGAAACCCCATTGGCGTGTTGGTGACATGAGGAAGTCGGTCTCACAGAATGAGACAAAGTGGATTCTTCAGTTAAGCTCTCTGGCCCCTAGGGGCCATTAAAAGAACCAAAACATAACAAACATTGTAAAAAACACATTGTAAAACCCACAACAGTCCAAACAAGGTCGGCAATGGCCATCTGTCCCCCCCGGAAATAACAGCAGCCTAGTGTTATGATAGGACAAATCTCCCGTTACCCGAGCAGCCTATAGGAGTTGATAGTTTAGTAGCCACATATAAAATGTGCATGGCAAACAACCCTCCGGTCCAGCCCTCGGGGGTACCCAGTGCTCCGCCTCCACAGTAAACTGGGGGGAAAGCTGGGCCATGGCAGGAGAGATCTCAGCAGCTCTTCCACATAAACTGTGGGGTGCTTACCTTCCGCACCCCCTGGGAGTCCCACTATCCACAGATTTACGTCTGCTGTGGTTCTCCGTATCTTCTGCCTTGTATTCCAGGGCTCTGAGCTTCGTTTGCAGGAAGCGGAGGGAGGCCGCATGTTCCCCCCACCACGTCCTCTACGTGTCCAACCTGCTGTTCACCTGCGGAGAGTTGGGAGCAAATCTTGTCAAAGTCCTGGCGGAGCAGCCCAACATTCAACTGAACTGCCTCTATCTTAGAAGTCAATGCTGCTTGGCAGGTGGAAATAGTCGTCATCACCTCAGGAATGTCCAGCAGTGGAGGGACCACAGCCTCAGTTTGAGACACCATATTGGAAAAGCGCGCCTGTGGGGCTGCCCTAGGCGGACTCAGGCTGACCACGATGGCTGCAGTGGGGGGAGGGGGGGGGATCCGAAGCCTCCTGCCCCCTTTCGGGCACTCGGAGGATCTACAAGGCACCCAGAGTGTGGGCACTGTCACTCAGTGATCAATAGGTGTAGGATAGGAGAAAAGAAGGCTAACTGTCCAGCAGAGCTCCGGCATGCATGTCTGATCAGTCCGCCATCTATGCTGCGTTACTTTAACTGACAATGGCATGGTCATGCAATGCTGTACATAAATGAAGTTTGTGTCCTTTTTTTTCCACAAACAGAGCTTTATTTCAGTGATATTTGATCACCTCTCCGTTTTGTATTTTTTGTGCTATAAACAAAAAAAAAGACTGCCAATTTTGAAAAAAAAAAACAATATTTTTGACTTTTTGCTATAAAACATATCCAATAAAAAACATTTAAAAAATCGAATTTGTCATAAATTTAGGTCAAAATGTATTCTTCTACATGTCTTTGCTAAAAAAAATAATCCCAATACGTGTAAATTAATTGGTTTACGTGACAGTTATAGCGTCTACAAATGGCGGTATATATACTGGAATTTTTTTTTATACTAGTAATGGTGGCAATCAGCGACTTATAGTGGGACTGCGAGACTGTGGCGGGCATTCTGACACTGGGTGGGAACTGACTAACTGCCACTGACATCTCCAGTGATACTAATACTATGATCAGTGCTAATAAAAAGCACTGACACTGGACTAATGACACTGGGCAGGAAGGGGTTAACATCTGGGGCGATCAAAGGATTAACTGTGTTCTGCGTGTGTTTCACATTATGTGCTGTTTTACAATGGAGATATGCTGCTTTGTATTTCTCTGCTGTCCTTGCTGACAGGAGAAAGACCTGTGTTGTTTACACACAGGTCTCTCCTCTGTCAGCTTTCCCCGATGATTTTTTTCCCCGCAAGAGCAAATTGGATCATGCTTTGCTGGGTTTTTTTGCCTTCCTCTGGATCAACTGTGGTTATAGGATTATAACTTTGTTTTATTAATGGTTGAACTGGATGGACTTTTGTCTTTATTCAGCCAGACTGACTATGTAACTGACCTGACTAAAAAGTCTCTACTTTCCACAGCGCAGAGGATGTTCGAATATGGGAACAAGAATGGTAGACTTTTGGCTGGCTAGGGGACAGTTTGATCCTGGTAAGGATACTGAAGATTGTGCTTCTTATCGGCCGATCTCTTTGATCAACGCAGATGCTAAAATCTTAGCCAAAATTTTGGCCATCTGCCTCATGACAGTGATGGATGATCTTAATGTAATCACCTAGTGCCGAGGGGGGGGGGGGGGGGAATTGCCGGCCGGGACATGATGGCCCCTAGGGGGCTAAATGCTGATATAAAGCTAACCTGTTTTTTATCCAATTGGTAGTTCTTTCTGTGAGAATAATTTCTGTGGGCGTTAGATTGGAGTCCATTTTTGATGGTCATTGTTTTAATATAATTTTTGTATTTTGTATACAACCATAATTTTATAACATTTTTTAATACATATGTTTTTTTATTAATATACATTTTTATATATTTTTTACATATTTTTTCATAAATGTTTTGTTTATTTTGTATTTTTATTTTACTTTATTTTATTTTTTAATTTTTATTGTTATGTAATATTTAGTGCATTGGTTCTAATGACATTGAAGTGTTTATGGTGGCTATTGTTAACGGAGGTGAATTTGCAGCAGTGAAGATTACCTCCTTTAGTGAATGATTGGGAGGGATGTTGAGAATGGGACCAATAAGAGTATTCTTGTCCATTAAGTTTCAACGAATGAGGAGTGATGGGGAAGTATATATTTAAAATAGGAGCTGGAGACCCTTGTTCATGACGACGCCTTGTGGGAGGGGTGAAACGCATTGACGCAATTTCCGGTTCCGACCTTTGACATGTGATGTCACGTCTGGTGAGTGGAACGCACGCTGGTGTGGCGTTCCGTGCCCATCTTTAATGTGAGGAGGACAGTTCTATCTCCCTACTGCTGCCAGTTCATCTTTGCCCATGCTGCTTGATTGTGTTACACATCAATGGAAAGTGTCAGATGGGTTTTTTAACCTGCCTAAGGAGTTTTTTTCATTAAAAGGTTTGTTTTTTTACTCTTGAAATGTGAGTGCAATATGGGCATCACTTTAATATTAAAAAGTTATATACAGTATTATGCTATTTGGGTATCCTTTCTTTTGCATTTCTATCCATCCATGAGCGAGAGTTTGGAGGATGTCAATTGTCTATTACAATCAATACTCTCCAGCTGCCAATATGGAAATCTTTAGCTTTATAGAGAATAAGTCCATTAATCTAGAGGACATTTTTTCTAAGTCAGACCCTACTAAGAAAGGGGATCTTCATACTCAGTTCAGAAAGCTTGGACACCTAATGGAAAAAAAGCTGTCCACTTGGTGGGATATGCTGACATACGAAAAGTACCTTAAAGATAGACTCATCCCTAGGAGATTAAGGTGGGATGTCCCCATAGGGGATGGGCTAACAGACGAGGAGTCAATTGAGGAATGGTTTGACTTTTTCCATGAGAAAGGGTTGGCATTTATTACATTCCTAATGAAAAGAAAACAAAAGAAAATGCGGAATATAGAGAAACTCATAGATGATATTAAGATCAGAATAGAACCATTTAAGGAATCACAAGAGATGTTAAATCTAAGTCAGCGGTTAAATAAAGATCTAGAAAAATCTGAACAGGAGATTAAACATAGAAAAATTAAGAAATATCAGAGAGACTTGAGCGATTTCAGAAAGGATCAGGTGTTCAAATGGCAAGATAATCTGAACTCCACAATATCTGCGTCGGTAGATACATCCCCACAAAATGAATCCAAATCTGATATAACAACAGGGACCCTATTGAAAGATAACATACGAGATGTGAAACCAGCTAGCAAACCACAAGAACACTTGAAAAATAATGACTATCATACACCGATTAATAAAGGGAAACCAAAGGGCAAAGGACCACCATATAATAGACCTCAAGGGAATGGCTATGGGAACCAATGGAGACCACAACACCCACATTTCAGGCCCCAATATCCGCAAAGAAACAATTTCAACCCGTACCCTAATGATCGCCAGTATAGACCGCCTAATAGAGATCAAGGATATTATCGTAATGATAGGAACTATTACCAGCCATATGATATGAGAAGTCCACTACCAATACACAATCGTTATGAACCCCTTGGATATGACTACCGCAGGATAATTTTTTAGAGAGGGGCAGAATAGTGAAAAGTCCAGGGGGGGAAAGAGGAAGGAGCCCGATAAAAAATACAGAGGGTGCAGAGCAGGAGCAAGAGAAAAAAAGAAAAAGAGACCACTAGGGGTTGGGGTCTTCAACCTTAGTGGGGAGGCACTCTCTATAGAAGAATTGGAAGTGCTGGATAAGGGCCTCAAATTTGCCCCACCTAAACCGGCCAATAGGTTTGATGTATATGTGGATCTACTTAAATTTACTAGGAAATTAAATATTAAAAAATATTTTCTAGGCCTACCAGGAAGCTCAAATAGAGTTAACAGAGAGACTAGTAGTGTTGTACATACAGAGCTTAGGAATAAGTCATTGTTCAACCCACAACTAAATAAGAATAATTAGGTTGAAGTGTTCAAGAAGATGATTCAATCAGATATAGAGACAGTTAAACTACCCCACATACCCTGTAATGGAAGAATTAAAGCAGGTATCAAGAAATTGTCACAACGAACGGATATAGTAGTCAGACCAGCAGACAAAGGGGGGGGGGGGATTGTAGTTCTGTCAAAAAATAAATACTTAGGAGAACTTAATTCACAATTAAGTGATAGTACCACATATAAAATATTGCATAAAGATCCTACTATGAAATACAGGAAGGAACTGGAGATATTGATAGATAAAGGAGTACAGAGGAACATTCTCAATAAGAAAGAAGCAAGATATCTTGTACCGGACACATGCAGAATACCTATTATTTATCTAGTTCCAAAAATCCACAAAGACCTCCATAATCCCCCGGGGAGACCCATTGTGAATGGGATCGATTCTATTCTATCCAGGCTAGGGCAATATGTAGATATGTTTCTACAGCCACTAGTCAAAAATACAGTCTCTTATCTTAGAGACACTAAACATTTGATTCAAACTCTAGGCACTATCCAAGATACTAGAGAATTATGGCTAGCGAGTGCGGATGTCTCCTCGCTATATACCATCATTGACCATGAGAATGCCATTACATCCACTAGTTGGGGCTTGAGGACATACAGCAACCTCCTTAGGAAACAGCAGAAATATATTGTCGAGTGTCTAGACTTTTGTCTCACTCACAACTATTTCTGGCATGGACATCAATTTTTTCAACAAATCAAGGGAGTTGCTATGGGCGCCCGGTTTGCACTTAGTGTGGCAAACTTTTTTATGGCCCACTGGGAACAGCACTCCATTTATTGCAAAATACCGGATGAGTTAGTACTATACAAACGATACATCGATGATGTGATAATTCTGTGGCGGGGTGATGAGGATTCTTTACAAGTATTTCTGCAGTCACTTAACACCAATGATAAGAACATCGTTTTCTCCTGGGAAACTAGTAGGGAAGATATATACACTTCTTGGACCTTAACATCTCAATTAAGAATGACAAATTGCTAACCACTACTTACTTTAAAAATATAGACAGGAATGGCTACATCTCTCTAGATAGCTGCCATTACCCCCAATGGCTCCTTAATATCCCCAAGGGACAATTTGTCCGTCTGCGAAGGAACTGTACTACTGTGGGTGATTATAAAGCACAAGTTCAGAAATTAGGAGAAAGGTTTGAACAAAAAGGCTACAATAAGGATTTTATTGCCAGAAAGATGGAGGAGGTAGAACATATGGACAGAACCCAATTGCTTAAGGATAAGGAGCAAACAAAACATCTAGAGGACCTGGTACCTATTGTTCTAGATTATAATATACATCATAAAAGGATTGAGAAGATTTTCTCGAAATATTGGCCCATTTTACAATCAGACCCAGTCCTGACGAAAGTTATACCTGCTAAACCAAAATTCATATATAGAAAGGCTCCAAATATTAGAACGTGTCTGGTAAAGAATGTGATTGATCCACCCCAGACCAATTTAAGAACTACGATTATTGACCTAAAAGGTTTCTATCCCTGTAAGACCTGCTATGCGTGTAAGGAGACAAAGGGTTTAAACACAAGAAGGAAACAATTCCAGGCAACAACAACAGGAGTGACATATACTATCAAGGATTTCATATCCTGCCAGACGGTGGGTGTAGTAAATGGCCTCCAGTGTGAGTGTGGACTTCAATATATTGGCAGAACAAAAAGACCTATGTGGAAAAGGATCAGAGAACATGTGCAGAACATTAAGAAAGGGCACACCAAACATAGTGTCTCCAAACATTTCGCTACTCATCATAAAAGCGATCCAACGAAATTGAAGTTTTGGGGTATAGAGAAGTCTAACAATCACTGGAGAGGAAGCAATAAGGTTAGAGCCATTAGCCAGGCAGAGTCAAAATGGATCTTCCTGATGAGGTCCCAACACCCGAGGGGTTTGAACATAGAATTTGATTTAAATTGCTTCATTGGTAATTTTTAAGTAATGATCAGTACTCTCTATCTGTGTTCATTTTATGTTTATTGGTATATGCTTAGGTATAAATTAGCCTATGTATGTAACATGACCATGGTATATGGCGGGTATGGCCCTAGGATGTTGCTAAATAAGTTACCACGATGATGGTGTACCGTATACAAACGGCCTTTCGGGTCTTTCGTTTTATATATACAACTATGCAGATATATGATTTTACAATTATAGTGATGAATCACTACTGGTATGGATATCCATACTTCTATATATGTACATTTTTTAATA